TTTTAGTTTTTTTTTTACCCTCTATTATATCATTTATGTTTCCTGGATACCCTTGCATTCCGTTAGTGTAAAGTTTAATAATGGAATATTCCGTTAACTATTTATTATTGTTAACTTATACATTGATTTTATTAGGAAGGTCTTAGGTTCGAACCTCATCCAATCAAAATTGATGTAATTCTTAAACATATATTATGAATATGTTAGAGTGTATTAACAAAATACAAAATAAAATTTAACATGAACTTTGGTTAATTAATTAGAATCATGCATTGGACATTGATAAAACGGTACATCTTATTTACAATATATATTCAACATAGATGAGAAATTATGCCGATTATCATTGTCTTTTTGGGGAAGGAGAATTTGGTTCTGTTTTTGAAGGTGCACTCGCCAAGGCACTAAAATTGCAGTGAAGCACACCAGGAGACTAGATCAAATCAAGAATTCATTTATGGCGGAACTGCGAAAGTTGCAATAAGAGGAAGCATGGATCATACCAATTAATAGGGTTTTGTGTTGCGAAAACTATACTCTGATACTATCCAGTGATGGTGCTTCCCTCTAAAACTGTTATTGCACTATTTAATCCAACATTTATGTCACATGTCATAGTTATACACTCTTGCAAATATTTACTTTTATGAAATATTTGATAATTTTGCATTGATATACGCCATGATACTGAATGATACTTTGATAAATTCTGAAACGCTAATTTAAAGATACATATTGGGTTTGGACTATTCACGCAATGCGTATGTGGTAACTGGTGATAATAATAAAAATGATACAACCCCCAACGATGAATATTCTTAAAAGCTTTTTAATGCATATATAACAAATTCAATCAAATAAAACAAATAGATGTTGCTAAAATCATAAAGATCTTACTTGAACCATGTTAATCTTTTAAGTAATTTTCGAGCAAATGATAGAGTGGTCATGGAGTGTTTATGTTCAAATAAATAAAGCAAAAGGTTATAAGTGTTAAAAGTAAAATTAGAATAAAGAGATAAGGGAGAAGGGGAGAATCACCTTTGTCATTTATTCTTTCCATTGTAAAAACATTAAGGTATGTAACGGAAGCAATAATGGAAATAAGAGTGAATTCCATTTTTGGTCCTACTGTTATAGGGGCGTTTCTAATTTTAGTCAATCTTAATTTTTTTTGTCATTTTATAACCACTATTATTGAATGTGTTCCACTTTTAGTCCCACCGTTAGTATTTCCATCAAGAGGCCGTGTAATCTAGGGGTATTTTGACCTTTCTTCTCATCCAAGACTATGTTTAGCTAAAGAAATGAGAACATTAAACTTAAAACCTAAGAAACCTCGCCGGCTCATGTTGGAACGAACGAAACGATATAGCTTTGGCTTCACACTCTCGTTGTTCGAAGAGCCATCTTCGAATATCGGAGGAGGAGGACGAAGCGCCTGGATTAAAAGAGAAGAGACAAACATAAAAAGACCAAAATACCCTTTGATTATACGGCCTCTTGACGGAAATATTAACGGTGGACTAAAAGTGGAACACATTCAATAACAGTGGTTGTAAAGTGGCAAAAAAAAAAAAAAAAATTTAAAGTGGACTGAAATTGGAAAACCCCCTATAACAGTAGGACCAAAAATGGAATTCACTCTGGAAATAATTATATAACTGTTACAACCGTTACAATACTATATAATAATGTCCATAATAAGTATAATATTTATAACACTCTCCCTTGGACATTATTTGACCACGATCTTGTCTCGTCAAAAACTTGCTAGGAAAACCCTGTAGGAAAAACCTAGACAAGAAAAGAGTACAATAGAAAATATATTCATGCCTCATTAAAACTTCACTAGGAAAACCACGTGGGAAAAAACCTAGTTGAAGAAAAGAGTACATGATATATGTAAAAGCATATACTGTATTGGTCACCTCATTAAAAACCTTAACTTAAAAAAACCCTGTGGGAAAAACTTAGTTAAGGGAAAAAGAGTACAACCATAAGCCTTCAGGGCGCAATCTGCATAATCTTCAGGATTTTGGAGTTAGTACATTTAAGCAATTATTTTGCAACTTTTTCCCATTGTCATTACTACATCATACTTATGCCTCGTTAAAAATCTCATTAGAAAAACCAGTGGGAAAAATTAGTTGAGGAAAAGAGTGCATGAATTATGTGTCGTTAGTCATCAATCTTCAGGATTGATTCATGTAAAATTATACTCCCCCTCAAGATAACAATCTTGATGTCCTATACATTAAATTTTCAAAATGTATAGAGAAATAATAAATATGTACAATTGTCAATGGAACAAATATACTTTATAATAATCTCGTGACTCTTCTAGAGCTTACATGAGTATAAGATTGACACCATAATATCTTAGTCAAAAGATTTCATTATACATTATTTTATCATTTGAGCGACACAATCTTTATTGTCCTTTTATAGGACAATGTGGGTAATATAGGACAACTAGTTTTGGGACTTTGGCATTATGGGGATACAAAAATAATAGCCAGTACTCAAGTAGCCCATTATATATTGATTTGTATAAGTATCCAATCAAAATCAAGTATTGGCTAACTGGTAAAACAAGTTCTTCAAGGAAAAACTCGATCTTCAAGTCGAGATAATACTTATAGCTTTCACAAGCTTTTTATTTCAAAAATCTCAGTCTTTAAACATGAACTGACATCATCAAGCTTTTTATATATTTCATTGATGTTTAATTTACACCATCAATATTGATTGAGATAATAAATAAGTCCATTATCAACTCTTTATTGAGCACATAATGGTACATATTATTCCTTCTATATGAGGATAATAACCCCATTCGCAACTCTTTAAAGAATAAATAATGGCACATAATAATACTTAAATAAATCCTCATTTCGGAAATTATAAATCCATCAGGAATTTCTCAAGATAAATTTAACTGCGTATCTAAATTTATTATTGTGCCAATTGTATTATGTAGCGGAACTTAATGCCATTTACCGTGGGAGAGTATATTTGAAAAACAGTCTCTGCGTGAACCCATAAGCTACAAACTCGCTTCATAGTATATCAATTTTAGCAAGTCGAGTTATGCCTTAATTGCTCCTTTATATGCTAAATAGTCATGACATTTTCGGTGCCTAACACTGGATCCAGATTATCATATAATGAGCAATTTGTAATAATGGCAATTGTGTTGTCAACAACTATAACCTTTTTATAAATGTCTCCCATATTTGTAAAAGTTAATGCCAATTTCTAAAACAACCAGATTCTAGACATTTCCCAAAGATATTTTGATCTGGTCGTTCCGCATCCCTAGTATTACGTTTGTTTGGTGCACCTATAAATTTTACTAGGGTTTTTTGTCATCTGGACGAACTTCTGCAGGACATAATTGTTCAAGCTTATTTCAAGAGTGACAATGTTTCGTTACTAGATCTAGTATTATGATTCATATCTCTTTCACCGATAGATCTCCTACACTTCTAGTGCCAAGGAATATCGATAGATATATTTGGTCCAAGTTTAGGGAAGGTATATGGGACATAGTCACTCTTTTTATGATCAGTATGATCAATAGATATATTTGGCAGATTATTTGCTAAATTTTCGCTAATAGATTATCTTCTGAACGTCCAGTTTAGTCTAACTAATACGTGGATTTAAATAGTGAAGATCTTTTCATTTTATGAAGTTTCTCGGCATTCTATTAAATTTGGGTTCATATCTCCCCCTAATGTCGTGAACCGATCTTCATAAAGTATGCTGTCTTCGTACCTAATTATATGCATTGATCCCCTATCATGGGCTCTTGGTATTTAAACAACAGACGGAGGTTTCTGTGATAGCCCTTTAGAGGTACGCTATGGTGATATATGAAAATAGACTGCATACTAAAATAGTAATGCAGATAGGGAAATGTTTATGTTGAAACCACGTACTAGGTGAAAAGAGCGTATAATGCGATATGCAGTGAGTTAGACTTGGGTAAAAAAAACTTGATTCATAGTAACGTCATAGCAATCCTTTAGGGATTGATGGGATATGTGGACCATTTTTTTGTTAAGAAATTCATTGTCAATGTTCATCCTAAAGATTGACTTAGAGAATTAAAGTCCTTAGTCTACCTTTTGGGCACATATATATATACAAAAGTGAGGGCTATATATTTAAATCTCGTATACCCAAAACTCATAAAGCAGAAACTAGTACTATAAACAGGTCATAGCATTTAATCACATGCAAGCTAAGGTTTAGCAACGACAGGTGCACCTTAACAGAACTACCTCACTGTTTTGTGGTTTAAAGCTCAATAGTACTATGCCTTTAAAAATATTTGTCTTAAAAGTTTGCTTCACGTTGCAGCAGTCATGGCCTATAGCAAATAATTGTTACCAACAAGAGAAAACAACAAATTCTCTTTGTTTTATGGTTCACATAGCTACAAAGCAAACTTAAACAAATAGAAGTTCTTAAATTTTGAGCATAATGTAATATACCAATTAATTATATTGCTTACTGTTAAGAATAATTCACTGACATAATTATAGACATGGTCATGAAGCATATCTTAATCAGCTAGGCATAGATACCACATGTTAGATATATTACAACATTTATATATATCATCTATCCAATTAATTATTATCACAACCCAAATTAAAGTGTATGCCAATTATGGCAAATTATGTTGTGGATCTGTATGCACCATGCATGGTGCATACAGATCCACACGACGTCGTTTTAGCCTAATGACGCGGGGTTTTATAAAAAAAAAAAAAAAAAAATTCCGTTAACGGCGTTTACTTCCAATTTCCTTTTGAGTTTGTTTCCAAGTTTCAAACTCGATCGTTGGCAGTTGTTCGCTGTGGTATTGGCATTCGATATCACCGGAATCGCGATCGCAATCTCAATCGCATTCGCAAATCGCAATCGCAATCGCAATCGCAAATCGAAATCGGAGTGGGGATCGGGAATTACAAAGTGATTGCTAGATGGAGGATGGAACAGAGCAGACGAATTCCGCAGTTGGTGATTGGCATTCGATTCAAGGTGATCTTGTTATTGTTTTTGCAATTGTTCCTTTTGGTTTTTTGTATGATTATGTGATTAGCAGTGATGTTTGTGTCTAGAATCTGCAAATAGTTGTGCAAAATCACGTAAGTAATTTCCATAATTGTATAACAACAATTTCAGAATTTGAAAACAATAATTCCATAATTTCATAACTATATTTCCAGAATTGCATGTCTATATATTCAGAATTAGGGGGTACTCTGTTTTGGCAGTTTGTTGCGACTGTGTATCCAGAATTGTATAACTATATTTCCATAATCATATAACTATATATACAGAATCTGTAGACACTCTGTTTTTCTGTTTGATGAACTGTTTGAATTAATGTTCACCATGTCTATATAATGTAGTTAGTGAAGGCATTGTGGATGGTTCAGTGAGTTCAGATCAAGTAGATGTAGATGTTGATGGATCTTCATCAATTCCAGGTTTATTCATAGTGGTTTACCTTTTAATTAGCAAATTCTGGTTAGGAATTATATGTTAATGTAAATGGTTATTATTGTGTTATATTTACAGTTGATCAAGATTTGGTTGGTTTGGTAGTAAGTAATGCTAATGAGGCTTTTGAGGTGTATAACAGTTATGCATATAGACTTGGTTTTAGTGTGAGGAAGGGTCATCAACGATACAAGGGATCTTCGAACACAATTCAAATGAAGAAATTTTGTTGTTCTAAGGCTGGTTACAAGGCTAACAGTGGGGTTAAGGCTTATTCCAAAATTGACACAATGACAGGGTGTGGAGCGTTTGTTCAATTTGACGTGGGTGATGATGGGTTGTGGACAGTTACAAAACACGAGAAAGTGCACAATCACGAGTTATGTGTGTTCAACAAGAGTCATCTACTTCGTTCACATAGGAGTGTCGGAGATAATCAGCTCTTATATTTACAAGGTTTGAAGGACAGTGGTGTTGCATTGGCAGATGGTATTAGGTTCCTAAAACACCAATCGGGGGGGGGGGGGGGGGTCCCCTTTAGTTGGTTTCACCAGTAGAGATGCTTATAATTCAATGGCTGCGGATACTGTCAAGCGATTGGATGGAACGGATTCTAACTCTTTAATTGAAATTTTTAGGAGGAGGCAGTCTACCGAGACTGATTTTTTCTTTGATTTTGAACTTGATTTGGATGCAAGGTTGTGCAGTTTTTTTTGGAGGGATGGTCAAATGAGACGAGATTACGAGGTGTTTGGGGACTTGTTAGTGCATGATACGACATATCGCACAAACAAATACGATATGATTTGTGGCCCTTTCGTAGGGATGAATCACCATTGCATGAATGTAATGTTTAGATGCGGGTTTTTGATGAACGAGAGGATAGAATCGTTTGTGTGGTTGTTTAAAGCGTTTTCAAGATCAATGGGTGGCAAGTCTCCACAGACTATTATGACAGATCAATGTGCAGCTATGACTGCTGCTATATCTAAAGTGTTTCCAACATCACGTCATCGTCTTTGCATATGGCATATCGGTGAGAATTCAAAGAAGCATATCAAGACGTTAAGGAACAATAAGGATTTCTTGGATATGTTTAACTACGTGTTGAAATACACAGAGACCGAAGCTGAATTTCAAATCTATTGGACAAGGTATGTTAGTAATTAATCGTTTTTATTGCATTACGTTTCATATGCATATGAATTATGGATGTATAGTTTAACTATTATGGATGTATAGTATAGTAATTATGGATGTATAGTGCATCAATTATGGATATATAGTATTTCGATTATGGATATATAGCAGTTGAACTTTAGTGGTGGTGCCGGGAAATGTAGTATATGGATTATGGATATATAGTATTCCGATTATGGATATATAGTATACCGATTATGGATATATAGCAGTTGAACTTACTGGTGGTGTCTGGAAATGTAGTAGTATGGATTATGGATAAATAGTCTACCAATTATGGACATATAGTATTCAAATTATGTATATACAGCAATAGAAATTCTGAGTATGTGTTAGATGTGGTGATGCTGCTTGTTAATATTCTGCTTCATAAACATTTGGGATTTTGTCTTACCATTTTCAGGTTGGTGACTGATTATAAATGTCACAAGAATACTTGGTTAGAAAAGCTATATGACTGTAGGGAGAAGTGGTGTCCAGCATTTAACAAGGACTATTTTTCTGGGGGCATTCTATCATCACAAAGGAGTGAAACTACAAATCATTCAATTTCTAGAAGGTTGTCCAAGACAGCGGGTCTTTGTGATTTCTATTCATCGTTTGTAAGCGTAATTTCTGAATGGAGAAGTAAAGAGAACGGTGAAGACTTTCGGTGTGCTCAAGGGGTACCCGCTATGATGATGGAGCATGTGAAACTTCTTTCACATGCTAGAGATGTATACACGATTGAGATATATTTTCTGTTTGAGGAACAATTCATGAAAGGCAGTGCGTGTCATCAAGAGATGGTGTTGAATGATGGCCGTCAACAGAAGTATCACGTGTGGCGGCCAGATATAGATATTATAAGACATGAGGTTAGTTTTAACGCAGCCAACTTGGACATTTATTGTAGTTGCAAGTTGATGTCTGAGTTGGGAATTCTATGTTGTCATTGTATACGCATTCTTCACGTACATTGTGTTTCTAGTATTCCCGACAAATATATACTTAAAAGATGGACTAAAAAGGTTATTGATGGTAGGAATGTCAACATTGATTCTATGGTTTATAATGTTGGTGTTCCTCCATCAATTTGGGTGTTCGATATTAGTAGAAAATTTCAAAGATTAGTTGTGTCTAGTCAAGATAGCAGCGTAGCTAGGAAACTGTGTGACGAGGCTGTTGATGATGTAAAGAAAAAGGTTGAAGCCGAGGTTGGGCATGTGCATATTGAAGAGTGTGGTGTTTCATCTTCAAGTGGTGGTGTTCAAAATCCTTCAAGCCGGAGATTGAAAGGTGAGCGTAACAAAAGGAGGAGTGGTGTTATTGAAAAGAAGTACAGTCTTGCAAGGGGGAGAAGGAGTGCTGCAAATAAAGCTGCATTGAGTACAAAGGGTGCTGTTCAGTCTTTGGTGTTGGAAAACATATCCAAGCTTGCTGGGGATGGATACCTTGTACATCCAAGTTCTTCAAGTTTAGATTTTGTTCAGTTTAGTAAGGGTTTAGATGACAATGTAGGTGTAGATTGAGAAATACAATTTGTTATCATTGATTTTATGCAATTATACAGTTTTAGTTTTGTAATTCTGGATATGTAGTTTTGCAATTATGGAACTATAGTTATGAAATTATGGAATTATAGTTATGCAATTATGGAATTGTAGTCATGCAATTATGAAAGGTATGCAATTATGAAATTATAGTCATTCAATTATGAAAATATAGTTATGCATTTATGCATGTGTAGTCCCCATTGTGATGGAATTTGTAGTTATGAAATTGTGGTGTATAGTTATGCAAGTATGGATGTATAGTTTTGCAATTATGGTATTATTGTTACGCAATTATGGAACTATAGTTATGCAATTATGGAATTGTTTATATACAATTATGGAATTATAATTATGAAATTATAGAATTATAGTTATGTAATTATGGAACTATAGTTTTGCAATTCTGGATTTATAGTAGTCATGCAATTATAGATTTGATACATGAAAAAAAAAAAGTAAAGAAAAGAAAAGAAGAGAAAAGAGAAAGAGGTGCATAGATCAGATGTAAATTGTTATTTAGCTATTAACATCATGCATCCACATTCACAAAATACAAGTCACATTGTCAATGTAGTTCACAAAAACTTTCTAATTGTTTAGAATTCAGTCAACATGTTGAAGAATATTCATTCAATTCTTCTTCGAAACTCTTTTGGCCGCTTGCAGAATCTCCCCCCTGACTTCATTCATTCTCCACTTTATGAGGTTGGCAGCATATTTCGCTCGCAGTTCACACATGAAGCTTGCCTATAAACAAAGAACATTAAGTAATTAGTCATTTGCAGTTTTATTTATTTTTTAATGTATTTTGAAACTATAATATGTATGGTAGTCTTACATTCAAGCGCATATTTTTCTTGAATCCTGGCTGCCAGTCTTGTAGAGTCCCTCGGAATGTCTCCATATGCCGGAGTACATAGATCCCGCAATCAGTGACGTTTGCAGTGTTTGCCCAGTCCAACTTAAGGTACTTTATATCAACTTTTTGCAATTTCACATACAAGGAGTGGCACTCGGCCTTAAGGTAACCACTGAATGCTTCAATCTGGTCAGAAAAGTTAATTTAGTGTTAATAATGCTTTTAAGTCAGCAGATAGGTAATGGTAAGAATGTCAAGTTTTTTTTTTTATCAAAATTACCAATAAGTGTGGGCAGTTGCCATATTTGTCCTTCTCCGAAACACCAGTTGGTAACTCCTTGTTGTCAATGACCTGTACTTTATGTTCTTTCACATTGAAGCAGACCAAGAAGTAGTGACCATGGCGATGAACTGCGAAAAATATCTAATTCCAATTCAAAGTTAAAGCAATGTTAGTATTTTTTTGGACATGATAAAGTCAAATTTTTGGACATGGGTAATAGAACTTACCAGATCTGCATCACTGATGTCTAGATTCCCGAAGCTGGTTATTTCATACACTACTGGAAATTCTGAAATTTCCGACCACCTGAAAATGATCTTAAATTAAGTTGATACCAAAAAGTGGCCGGAAATAGCAACAAAGGTTTTTCCGGATACCAAAAATGGTCGGAACAAGACTTTCAACTTGATTTAAGATCACTTTCAGGTGGTCGGAAATTTCAGAATTTTTAGTAGTGATAGCTCAATCTCTCATTGAAATTCTTCATTTTTATGTGAGTTGGGAGATCCTTCATCCACTGGTCATTGGGATCAATTTGAAGCTGCACATACAAATGCAGGAATGAGTAGTCATAATCCAAATAATATTTGTTGAAAATGTTAAAGTTATACATACAGAGTTATATATATACATTTCCAGAATTGTACAACTATAGTTCCATAATTGGATAACTATAATTCCATAATTTCATATCAATAATTCCATAATTGCATATAACCAATTCCATAATTGCATAAGTATAGTTCTATAATTGCATAACTATAATTCCAGAATTACAAAACTATAAAACCAGGGGTTCACAGGTACACATCCAGAACTGAATAACTATATATCCATAATCTAAAAACTATATATTCATAATTTGTGAACACTTACATGTACTAGGATGGAGAAGTAGACCCGCTTTGTCTCCCCAACCGCACGGGGCATGTTCAGCAATGTAAAACGTAGGGACCAGACATCTAGGAAGCTGCTCAGTAGCTCACCATTGCACATAGTTGCAAAATCGTCCCTTGTCAAGTAGTAATCACCATATTTGAACAATGTCTCTCTACAATACAGTAAATAAATAAATATAAGAACATAAATTAATGAATAAAATTTAAGTAAAATAGGTGGATGGAAACATACCCTCCCGGGTGCTCACTCGAGGCTTCCAAAAATGCATAGTTTGAAAAAACCTTTTCTTTGGGAGTTGCATTATTGATGGAGCCTTTGTTCTTATTCCAATATGGTGACCTCAAATGAAGCGGGATGTTCCTGAATTTGCGCACAGGTCTCTTTCTCACAGTAACATCCTCAACATCAGATTCACTTTCATCCATAGCCCTGTTGTCCAGAAAAAAACAGAGGCAGTTCATAACCCCACAAGTATAATTCCAGAATTGTATAACTACATTTCCATAATCTATAAACTATATGTCCATAATTTGAGAAATACAAATCCATAATTATAAAGAAATCAACGTCAATAGTTGAATAAGAATATATTCATATTAATCAAACTTAATATTCATAATTATTGATGAATTGAAAACCATATTCATAGTCTAAATCTGCATAAGAAAGCAGTAACCTACTTATCAAATTCATCAATCTCAGCAGCAGTTTGGGCAGCAGGGGTAGTAGGAGTGGTGGATTTTTCGAATGGCACTCTGATTAGTAATGGAGTTGCTTCCTTCTCTGTTGAGGTTGATACTCCTGCACTCCTCACAATGTTATCCACCAAGGTGTCCAAAGGCTGCTGTTGAGATGGTGGTGGGGTTGGTGTAGAGCGTCCAAGTAGCTCAAACGATGGGACTTCTATTTCCATTTCCTTTCTTGTTTTTTCAAAAGCTGCTACCAGAGAATTAATTGCTGATGTGAAGCTTTCACTTCCGAAGAAGATGTCATCCAATTGCGAGGCAGTTGGGCTAGGAGTCGGTTGAATTGTGCTTGCAGCACTCAGCATTGTTGATATTCCTGAAAAAGCCCTCTTCATGATTTCAACCGGGGCCCCTTGCTTGCCAATGTCAGACATGACCTGACCGAACTCAAGGACATCTGCTGTAAGCCGTTGAAGCACATTTGTTACTCGGTCAACATTTGTCAGAGGCACACATGGAGCTGGAATAGTTGGTGTAGCAGCAGGGCTGGACACTCGCCTTGGTATTGCAGCAGGAGGAGGTGCAGGTCGGGGTGATGATGTAGATGCAATGGCAGTAGGTCTCTGAAATCGAGGGATAACTTTGCCCTTACCAAAACCCCCTGATTTTATCTCAGCCGATACTCGCTTGCGTACAAGGCTTTTTGTCCAAGCTTTTATTGCTGGGAATGTGCGGGTGACGGTCATGCCTCTGAACTGTACTCGGTCAAAGTAGAAGAGCTTCAAGAATTACAGAAGAGTATGTTAAGGAATTGAATAACTACATATCCAGAATTGCATATCTATAATTCCATAATTGCATAACTATAATTCCATAATTATAAAACTAGATATCCAGAATTGCATATCTATAATTCCATAATTGCATAACTATAATTCCATAATTGGATGACTATAATTCCATAATCCATAAACTACACATCTATAATTGAATAACTATAATTCCATAATTGTAAAACTATTATTCCATAATTGGAAAACCACAATTCCACAATTACAAAACTACACATTCATAAGGGCATAACCACACATACAGAATTGCATATCTATGATTCCATAATTGCATGAATATAATTACATAATTAGAACATTTTATGTATAATGGGATATTACCAGGATGAATACCATTGGACCTCCAAAGGATCTGGTAGGAGAGTCTTTGTAAATGTCATACGAATCAATTAAAGAATTGTACGTGTACTTGCACCAATTAAGTCTTGAGATTGACCGGATGTTAAGCAATGACTTGATAACTCGATAGTTGGCATATCTTCCAGTATTTCCCCGGAGCAGAGATGAGACAACAAACACCACAAAGTCTCTCTTGAAGGCATCTCCATGGTCACCTCTCCTGATTATTTCATCAGGCATCTTTGTTGTTATGGGTGACCCTGACCTGACATTCCATCTTTTCCTCCACTCAGTCAGGACCTTATTATATGCAGCTGTAGAATTTTCCTCACTCTTTGTACCTTCCTCAACATCTCTCTTCCCCCGGGGGAGTCCCAAGATGTATTCAACATCCTCTTCACCGACATGTAGATGGTCACCATCCAATATGAAGTCTGATTTGAAAACATCAAACCTTTGCAGGAGATACTCAACAAGTTGTGAGTAATTGCTTGAGAATTGTAGGTGCAGCAGCCCTCCAAAACCCATATCAATCACAGCATCCTTTTGGTCCTGTGTTAGACGCTGGACAAGGTCATACATTTGCTTGGGACCCATTCGTGTACTGAAGTAATTCACATCAGGGTCCCGTACTCTCTCTCGCTTTTGTGGTGGTGCCCTCTTTCTTTTTACAGCTGCTGGTTGTTGCCTTGTCGAAGGCTCTGCTTGATCTTCCTGGGCAGGGGTGAGTTGAGCAGCTTGTGAGCTCAATACTGCTCTGGTTGTTCTCTTTTTTACTGACTTCACAAATTGACTAAGCGTAGAATCATCTGCCACACCTGACTGATCCATTTCTGCAAATAAAAAACATCAAGTGAGGTTAACAGAGTACTATATCCAAAACTTCATAACTACAATTCCATAAACACACAACTATACTTCCAGAATTGTAAAACTACAATTGCATAATCTCATAAGTATACCACAAGGCAAGTTATGCTAAAAAGGATTTGAATGCAGTTTGGTGCACAGAGTAAGGTTCACAGAGTAATACATCCAAAACTGTATAACTATAATTC